ATTGGATTTTAGAGAAATATTTGCTCAAATGACGCTTAAGCGCGGTGTTTGGGTGCATTCAAGAGAAAAAAGTGTGTCACGTTTAAGCGACATATACCTGTGAAAGTGATAACACTTTCATAAAGTGTTATCACAAAGTGATAAATTAATTAAACATTTTCACACACCGGGTTGTCACTGCTTTATCAGGGCAGCTTTTCCAAGAATGCGTTCATCTTTTCAATCATTCCAAACACTTCCCAGATCTCAGTGGAAGAGGCAGCATCCTCCCTTACCTCCTCATTTCCTTACTAATGGTGTAAATTGTTGATGAGGACCTGCCATACTCCCTTGTGAGATCAGTCACACAGACACCACACTCATGCTTTGCTATAATTTCCTTCTTCAAATCCACAGTAATTGTGTCTTTCCTCCTCTTGACAACACTATCTTTAGCAAGCAGCTTCTTTGGAGACATCGTGTGTTACAAACTGTAGTCGCAAAACCACTAAAAACCCAAAGAAAAGCTCAAATAAATCCAGAGGGATGCTTGTCGTATGCGATACAACAACAACACTGGCGTCGGAGGCGTCCGAGAATTTGCGAGAACCCGCGAGATGCTAGGAAGCACCATGTGGTTTTGCTCGTTAATAGAGGCGAGCTCGTCAATAGAGACAAATTTGCTGCAAGTGGCTTGCTCGTTACTGGAAAAACTCGTTAATAGAGCCACTCGTTAATCGAGGTTCCACTGTATGCAATGCGTTATAATCTGGATGAAAATGTGAAGGTTTATGCAATTGAAAAACCTAATTTTAGGAGAAGACATTATGGCAAACTTAGAAATTTTTTTAGTGAGTATAATTGGACAGACTTGTTGCTAGGCAAGGAAGTGAATGAGATGTATGTCACGTTTTGTGAAATATATGATAAAGGCACAAAAAAATTTATACCAAAACAGAGATGCAGAACTAGGAAACAGGATTGGTTCAACAGAAATTGTGAGAGGGCCAGAGACCAAAAGACACAAAAATGGAATCAATACAGGAAGAGGCCAAACCCCCCAAACATACCAGCGATACAAAGATACGAGAAACAACTACACGGCAGTGAGGAGAGAGGCAGTAAGAAATTTTTAAAAAGGGATTGCAGACAAATGTCAAACAGAACCAGGTCTGTTCTATAAATTCATAAACAACAAATTGCAGGTAAAGGATAATATTCAGAGGTTGAAAATGGGAAATAGATTCACGGAAAATGAAAAGGAAATGTGTGAAACATTAAACGAAAAGTTCCAAAGTGTGTTTGTACAAAATGAAATCTTCAGGGAACTAGATACAATAAGAATTCCAGAGAACAACATAGAGCACAGAGGTGTCTAGAGACGAAGTGAAAAAAATGCTCATGGAGCTAAATAAGAACAAAGCAGTTGGTTTAGATGGAGTTTCACCATGGGTTCTGAGAGAATGTGCACCTGAGCTCAGCATTCCACTTCAACTGATTTTTCAGGCATCCCTGCTTACAGGAGTTGTAGCTGATGGGTGGAAAAGGGCTAACATAGTTCCAAAGTATAAAAGTGTAAGCAGGGGAAGACCGCCTTAATTATAGACCAGTATCATTGACAAGTGTAATAGTCAAAATATTGGAAAAAATAATTAAAACTAAATGGGTAGAACACCTGGAGAGAAATGATATAATAACAGACAGACAGTATGGTTTTCAATCTATAATATCCTGTGTATTGAATTTACTCAGTTTCTATGACCGAGCAACAGAGATATTACAGGAAAGTGATGGTTGGGTTGACTGCATCTATCTGGACCTAAAAAAGGCTTTCGACAGAGTTCCACATAAGAGGTTGTTCTGGAAACTGGAAAATATTGGAGGGGTGACAGGTAAGCTTCTAACATGGATGAAAATTTCTGACATAGGAAAATGAGGGCAGTGATCAGAGGCAATGTATCGGACTAGAGAAATGTCACAAGTGGAGTACCACAGGGTTCAGTTCTTGCACCAGTGATGTTTATTGTCTACATAAATGATCTACCAGTTGGTATACAGAATTATATGAACATGTTTGCTGATGATGCTAAGATAATAGGAAGGATAAGAAACTTAGATGATTGTCATGCCCTTCAAGATGACCTGGACAAAATAAGTATATGGAGCACCACTTGGCAAATGGAATTTAATGTTAATAAATGCCATGTTATGGAATGTGGAATAGGAGAACATAGACCTCACACAACCTATATATTATGTTAGAAATCTTTAAAGAATTCTGATAAAGAATGAGATCTAGGGGTGGTTCTAGAGAGAAAACTATCACCTGAGGACCACATAAAGAATATTGTGCGAGGAGCCTATGCCACGCTTTCTAACTTCAGAATTGCTGTTAAATACATGGATTGCGATATACTGAAGAAATTGTTCACGACTTTTGTTAGGGCAAAGCTAGAATATGCAGCGGTTGTGTGGTGCCAATATCTTGAGAAGCACATCAACAAACTGGAAAAGGTGCAAAGACATACTACTAAGTGGCTCCCAGAACTGAAGGGCAAGAGCTACGAGGAGAGGTTATAGGCATTAAATATGCCAAAACTAGAAGACAGAAGAAAAAGAGGTGATATGATCACTACATACAAAATAGTAACAGGAATTGATAAGATCGATAGGGAAGATTTCCTGAGACCTGGAACTTTAAGAACAAGAGGTCATAGATTTAAAATAGCTATACACAGATGCCGAAGAAATATAAGAAAATTCACTTTCGCAAACAGAGTGGTAGACGGTTGGAACAAGTTAGGTGAGAAGGTGGTGGAGGCCAAGACCATCAGTAGTTTCAAAGCGTTATATGACAAAGAGTGCTGGGAAGACGGGACACCACGAGCATAGCTCTCATCCTGTAACTACACATAGGTAATTACAATAAACGTGGCGCAGCATGGTGGTTAAACAAACATTGTTTGGCATTTGTACTCGAATATGTGAAAGTTGTTGGTCAGTTTGTGTTAAAATGAAGGCAAGAAAATATAACCCTCAAGAAACAAAATATAGGAATAATTATAATGATTTAAGGGATATATTTAGGGTATACAATGGGGCCTCGAATTACGATGCTAATCCGTTCCCAGAGATAGATCATATCGTAAGTCGAAATATCGTAAGTCGAAGCGATTTCTCCCATAAGAAATAAAGGGATTTGAATTAATCCGTTCCCCACCCTCCAAAATATTAACATACAAATACATTTTATACTGAATCCAATGTTTTTTCTAACTACAATACAGTACCTAAGTTTATCTTACCTATATGGAGGGCTCTTGATGGCGTATGGAAGATGGTGATCGGGGGGGGGGGGGGAGGAGAGTTATTACTGTTAGGAAGGGGAGTCCCTTTCCATTATCACATCATGTAGTGATGTTTTCTCTGGGTTACTCTTTCTCCTACGTTTTGCCTGAATACCACTAGGACCTGGTTGTGGTTCAGTGCTTGTTTGTCTCACTACAAATTTGTCAAGAGACGTTTGTTTTTCCCTTCGTTTTAACATTTGTCTGTAATGATGCATCACTTTAGCACCCATAATGTCCTTTTTCTTAGCCAGTATGGTGGATATCGTTGACTGAGATTTGTTGTACTGCCTAGCCAGTCCAACATCCCGTACACCATCTTCATATTTACGAATGATCTCTTGTTTCTGCTCTATGGTCATCCTTACATGGGATCTCATATGTTGAGCCTTACCACTGACTTTCCTGGGACTCATGGCGTGATATATAATAATTACTTTAATGTTCAAAATGCAAAAATTCACCACAAAAGCAAAATTTCTTATAGGCGCGATCGTCACTAAGCGGTCAGCTGTAGTAAACTGAGGCAGGTCGGCCGCGTGACCGGGAACCACGTGCTCGGTCGACCCGAACGTTTACCAACAAATATCGTAAGTCGACGACACCATCGGATATCGAGTTGCATTTTTTGATGACATTTACATCGTAACTCGAAATTATCGTAAGTAGGGGCAATCGTAAGTCAAGGTGTCGCTGTACTTTATAAAAGTAAAAAAGCTCCAATCTGGTCCCAAATCATCAAAACAATCTAAAAAAACAAGGAAAATAGAGTTTGAAATCTTGGAAAAAATCTGCCAACAAAATTCAAAGTCTGAAGTTCTGCCAGTTATGACTGATTTATTTGTTGACCAATTTAATTCTTTCTTCACATAGTTAGGGATGGGTATGCATTCTCCAGGATGTAGAGGTTACATCAAAATCAGATAATAAACAAAAAATAAAAACAAAACCCCCTATAAAAAATGTGTGGACTTTGGTGAAAGTAACAGATATTACCATTTGGACAATGTATTTGTATGATATATAACCAAATAGAGCATAACAACATACTTCCTCATTATTATTTGTGTTATTATGTTACTCAGCAATGCTATAAAGGCTCCAGCTGCATATCCACTTTGTTGACACTGCTAACTAATATTTTTCATTGTGCATCGGACAGGTGCTTGCATCTCTTTATTACTGCATTATCCTCCAGTTCCAGTTAATAGGAGCTGTTCTCCTTATCAACAAAATGTTCTTCTTTTTAAAAAAAAATGTCTAAAATCCATTTCTGAAAAATTGTGATAAAAAAAAATTTCACGACGCTGAAGCCAATAAGTTGGAGATTGTTTAATATTTAATATTAATTTTCACATAATTCAAATATTTTTTTGCCCAGCCACAGCATATACGCCCATTTACACCCTAGGCTGTAGCAGTGTAAGGGTTAAAGCCTCATATTGCATGCTTTGAAACTTCATTTTGTGTTTCACACATTTCCTTTTCATTCTCCAAATCTGTTCCACATTCTTTATCTTTGGATTTTATCATCTACATGCTGCCTGCATTTAAGAATTTGATAGAAAAGGTCTGGTTCTGTTTTCCATGTGTCCACTACCCAATAGTAGTAAGAGGATAGATTATTTAGTTGCTAAATGATTATTTTGTTTTATTACTTATGTATGTCTGCAGGTTCTGTTGTTAAATGTATATGGTGATCAACTGATTGTTCTCACTGCGGACTGCCACATAACAGTGTATAATCTTCAACCACTGGAAACAAACTCAGGTATGTTTATAATTGTGTGTTGTAAGTACTGTACTGTATTAAGTTTAATGGAGACATAATGTATTATATTTACGGTAGCTCTTATTTTCATTATTGACCCGTGATGACCAATAATGTCTTGATATGATGCACGCTACTCCATTGCCCTGATTCATTGTGTTTATATCTAGATATAAAACTGCACACCTCATAGATATTTAACAACCAAGATGCACAACCTCGCTTTGGAACATTAATTCTTTCAATAAGAACTATGTAATTATAAGTTTAAGCAACAAAGTGCTTAATTGTAGTAAATTACACTTTAATGCTTAATTATCTTTTATTGTGTAAGGCGAGTCTGGGTTTAGTAAAAGACAATCTGGAGGGAGCAAGTTGAGCAGAAAGAATTTCAAGCAGAATAAACGAGAGGAGAACCTTCTGTTTCCCCGTGGTCAGTGTAGTGTTCTTTTGTTTTGTGCAATGTGTGTGACTCTAGTTTGTTGTTAATCAGTGTTTTCTCTGATGGTGATAATAAGTGCAATAGTTTTGTTGCATATCAAAATGATTGATATATACATATTTTGTGTAGATGCAGTGCTGCAAGAATGTATTTTGTTTCGTTGGGTATGTGGCGGTGGTGGGTTTTTGTGTCCAAATAATCATAAAAGCCATGTAAAATTGCTATATGCTGTTTGGCAGCAGACCAGTTGGCCTTGGTCACCCTTAAATGCGTTACCGTTAGTTAAGAGGGTGTTTTTTCTTCGTGATAATTTTTCCTTTGGTTATGCTCACACTGCAGACTCCTCTTGTTAGTGTGTTCTATTTTCTCCACCTTCACATTACCTCTTTCATTAATGCTTATAATTGTACCTTTCTCTATGCTTGTATTTTTTTTCTGCTACTCTGCCTCTGCTATAAGTACAATATATGCTTTTTAAGACAGGCATCATTCTTTTGGCACTTCCTTGTTTCTCAATGAAAGCAAGGAGTAACTGCTCTCCTTAACTAGCTAAACTAGCTTGTTAAATTTGTCAAAATTTTTTATGTACTTCTCCAAAAATATCTGGCTCTGGACCTTAAACAAAATACAAGGTACAAAACACAATCATATCTGCCCATAGTAGGAAAGCAGCATGTAAAGTATCTGTGAATAATGATGTCTGATGACCTAACATTTAGAGAGCATAACCAAGCAAATATTGCATCAGCCAGAAAAATGATAGGGTGGATTACGAGAACCTTCAAATCCAGGGTACCTATCACAATAGTGGTACTATTCAAATCACTTGTGCCGTCTCGTCTTGAGTGCTGCTCAGTGTTCACTTCCCCCGTCAGAGTGGGAGAGATTGATGAAATAGAGGGAGTACAGAGAACATATATGGCATGCATACATAGGACAAAGCACCTAAATTATTGGGATCATCTCAAAGCTCTCCAAATGTTCTCACTAGAAAAACGATGAGAAAGATATCAAATAATATACACATGGAAAATACTGGAGGCCCAGGTCTTAAATGTACACAGTCAAATAACAGCATACTAGCAACCCGTTCTCGCAAATTTAATAAGTCAATATTGACTTATTAAATATGTGCATAGGTGACATACTTAACATAATAGATACCCTTAAAAAGATTCATAGAAAACACCGACCTTACCTAACCTACTTAGTATGTTAAGATAAGCATCTTATTGCTTCGTAATTACAATTATTACCTAACATATAATAGGTATAGGTTAAGTAATAATTGTAATTACGAAGCAATAAGATGCTTATCTTAAGATACTAACAAGGTTAGGTAAAGTCGGTGTTTTCTATGAATCTTTTTAAGGGTATCTATTATGTTTAGTATATCACCTATGCACGTAGTTAATAAGTCAATATTGACTTTACGAATTTGCGAGAACGGGTTGCATACTAGAGTGAACAATATGGAAAAAAATGCAGAATAGAATCAGTGAAGAGCAGATGGGGTGCCATAGGCAAAATCAGAGAACACATTATAAACATCAGAGGTCCACGGTTGTTCAACAAACTCCCAGCAAGTATAAGAAATCCCCCATCCCACACACCAGACCCTACCCACTACCTCCATTACCCATCCTGCAATCCGGACCCTACCCACTGCCTCCATTACCCATCCTGCACTCTGGAGCCTACCCACTGCCTCCATTACCCATCCTGCGCTCTGGACCCAACCCACTGCCTCCATTACCCATCCTGCACTCTGGACCCTACCCACTGCCTCCATTACCCATCCTGCACTCTGGACCCTACCCACTGCCTCCATTACCCATCCTGCACTCCGGACCCTACCCACTACCTCCATTACCCATCCTGCACTCTGGAGCCTACCCACTACCTCCATTACCCATCCTGCACTCCGGACCCTACCCACTACCTCCATTACCCATCCTGCACTCTGGACCCTACCCACTGCCTCCATTACCCATCCTGCACTCTGGAGCCTACCCACTACCTCCATTACCCATCCTGCACTCTGGACCCTACCCACTACCTCCATTACCCATCCTGCACTCCGGACCCTACCCACTACCTCCATTACCCATCCTGCACTCCGGACCCTACCCACTACCTCCATTACCCATCCTGTACTCTGGAGCCTACCCACTACCTCCATTACCCATCCTGCACTCCGGACCCTACCCACTACCTCCATTACCCATCCTGCACTCTGGACCCTACCCACTGCCTCCATTACCCATCCTGCACTCTGGAGCCTACCCACTACCTCCATTACCCATCCTGCACTCTGGAGCCTACCCACTACCTCCATTACCCATCCTGCACTCTGGAGCCTACCCCCTACCTCCATTACCCATCCTGCACTCTGGACCCTACCCACTACCTCCATCACCCATCCTGCACTCCGGACCCTACCCACTACCTCCATCACCCATCCTGCACTCTGGACCCTACCCACTGCCTCCATTACCCATCCTGCACTTCGGACCCTACCCACTGCCTCCATTACCCATCCTGCACTTCGGACCCTACCCACTGCCTCCATTACCCATCCTGCACTTCGGACCCTACCCACTGCCTCCATTACCCATCCTGCACTCCGGACCCTACCCACTGCCTCCATTACCCATCCTGCACTTCGGACCCTACCCACTGCCTCCATTACCCATCCTGCACTTCGGACCCTACCCACTACCTCCATTACCTTATCTCATACTCCGGACCCTACCCACTACCTCTGTTACCTTATCTCATACTCTGAACCCTACCCACTACCTCCATTACCTTCTCATACTCTGGACCCTACCCACTACCTCCATTACCTTATCTCATACTCTGGACCCTACCCACTACCTCCATTACCTTATCTCATACTCTGGACCCTACCCACTACCTCCATTACCTTATCTCATACTCTGGACCCTACCCACTACCTCCATTACCTTATCTCATACTCTGGACCCTACCCACTACCTCCATTACCTTATCTCATACTCTGGACCCTACCCACTACCTCCATTACCTTATCTCATACTCTGGACCCTACCCACTACCTCCATTACCTTCTCATACTCTGAACCCTACCCACTACCTCCATTACCTTATCTCATACTCTGGACCCTACCCACTACCTCCATTACCTTCTCATACTCTGGACCCTACCCACTACCTCTGTTACCTTATCTCATACTCTGAACCCTACCCACTACCTCCATTACCTTCTCATACTCTGGACCCTACCCACTACCTCCATTACCTTATCTCATACTCTGGACCCTACCCACTACCTCCATTACCTTATCTCATACTCTGGACCCTACCCACTACCTCCATTACCTTCTCATACTCTGGACCCTACCCACTACCTCTGTTACCTTATCTCATACTCTGAACCCTACCCACTACCTCCATTACCTTCTCATACTCTGAACCCTACCCACTACCTCCATTACCTTCTCATACTCTGGACCCTACCCACTACCTCCATTACCTTCTCATACTCTGGACCCTACCCACTACCTCCATTACCTTATCTCATACTCTGGACCCTACCCACTACCTCCATTACCTTATCTCATACTCTGGACCCTACCCACTACCTCCATTACCTTATCTCATACTCTGGACCCTACCCACTACCTCCATTACCTTCTCATACTCTGGACCCTACCCACTACCTCTGTTACCTTATCTCATACTCTGAACCCTACCCACTACCTCCATTACCTTCTCATACTCTGGACCCTACCCACTACCTCCATTACCTTCTCATACTCTGGACCCTACCCACTACCTCCATTACCTTATCTCATACTCTGGACCCTACCCACTACCTCCATTACCTTATCTCATACTCTGGACCCTACCCACTACCTCCATTACCTTCTCATACTCCGGACCCTACCCACTACCTCCATTACCTTATCTCATACTCTGGACCCTACCCACTACCTCCATTACCTTCTCATACTCCGGACCCTACCCACTACCTCCATTACCTTCTCATACTCCGGACCCTACCCACTACCTCCATTCCCTCCATCCCGCACCCACCATCCCCTCATCACCCACACAGGACCCCCCTAGTTGTACAGCTATATGGACGGTATTAATATAGTGGACTTCCTTGCTTCCAGCTGTTGGATCGGGAGGCAGAGTCCCTGAGTGCTTGACATTAATTAAACTCTTATTGTTTTATAACTGTGGTTGTGGCTGTGAAAGCCAGATTGACTGTGAAAGCCAGATTGACTGTGAAAGCCAGATTGACTGTGAAAGCCAGATTGACTGTGAAAGCCAGATTGACTGTGAAAGCCAGATTGACTGTGAAAGCCAGATTGACTGTGAAAGCCAGATTGACTGTGAAAGCCAGATTGACTGTGAAAGCCAGATTGACAGTGAAAGCCTGATTGACAGTGAAAGCCTGATTGACAGTGAAAGCCTGATTGACTGTGAAAACCTGATTGACTGTGAAAGCCTGATTGACTGTGAAAGCCTGACTTACTGTGATTGTGTGACTGTGAATACGTGACTGACTGTAAATGCCTAACTGATTGCCACTACAACTGTGACTGCCTTTGGTTATGACTGCATGTGACTAGTCTTTTGAATGCTGTGAATGCTAGAGTAACATGTGACTGTGACTGGTTCTAACTGGCTGCCACATAACAAGCAGTGAAAGGAAAACAATAACAATGTGTGAATGGAAAATCTGGAACCAGTGATGCAGATATGAAAGTGTTTAAGGGGAGCAGGGGACGGTCTTCTCCTCCTCCCTCCTCCTCACCCTCCCCATACACCAACACCACTCTTCCCTCCCACCTTACCCTCTCCCAAACACCAACAAGAGTCCTCAGTAAAGGTAAAGTGCAGTTAAATGTTCACTTATTTTATTTATGGTTTATATTTATACCTAATTGTTTTGTGTATGAGAAATATGAGTAGTATTTTATATAAAATGTATTTTT